CCAGGGCCCCCCTTGGAGTCACCAGGAACAATGGCCACAAGCTGAGGGAGGATAGGTTTAGGTTAGATATTAGGAAGAATTACTTCACTGTAAGGGTGGCCAGAGCCTGGAATAGGCTTCCCAGAGAGGTGGTGCTCTCACCTTCCCTGGATATCTTCAAGCGGAGACTGGATAGGCACCTGGATGGGTTCTTATGACCCCTGCCACCCGCAATGCTGCCCATGGCAGGGGGTTGGACTCGATGATCTGTCTAGGTCCTTTCTGACTCATTGATTCTATGATTCTATAAAGCCATATCAGATAATTGACAGTGGCAGTGCTTATTTTGAACTGGGTGCTATAAGCTATGCTATGCATTTATGCAGGAATTTCATATCTAATAATAGAAATGGGTAGTAGTGCCTACTATGGCAACAATCCCAAGTACAAATACAATGTCAACATAGGTTTTAACTTCCCACATGTCCAGTTTATTGAGCTACACTGCTCTCTGGTATAACTCACTAACACTCTGGGAATAAGTTTGGCCCATTTGCTTTTATTTTAGCATGATCGTATGAGATGCTGAGCCTCATAACTCAGTGGGGTTCCTTAGCACCTAATGGGATCAGGCCTATGGGCCTGATTTGGAAGGGAATATTTATGAACTAGCTAAATATTTTCTCGTGTTCTAACTTGCAGGATGATGATGGGAAGATTTGGTAAGTAATATTTTAACACCTGGGAACTGCCTTATCAAATGCAAAGAGGAAGCCCTAGTCTGTAATTTTTGCACATTTGTCATGCCTAACAAATCTTCTGCTCTGCCCACTGAACACTGTGGCACCCTCCATTATCTTCTCTCCATTAGATACTTGTACATAATGGCAAAAATTACAAAAAGAGCAAGAATTTTTCACTGAAGGACTCCTGAGGCTTTTAGCAAATGCGTCAGGTTTAGAATTAACACCCCAGCTCACATAATGTCACGATCTTTAATTAATTTAGAATAATGTAAATTGCCCTAAATAATATGTGTTTAGGACTTTGAAAATGTAAAGTGTTAAGTCCTTATCAGCAGTATTAAGTAATAGGGTGGAGGGTGGGGAGAAATCAGATCTTCCTTTAGGCCCTGATTCAGTAAACTTCTTACTGCACCTAATACTGCATTGAAGTCAATGGGGAATTACAAGTGAGCTTAATGGTAAGCATTTGAGGTGTGCAATGGGCCTGAGCATTTGTGTGAGAAGCACAAAAATCTGCTGATATTTAGTGGCCATTTGTTAGACCTAAAACTTGGTGGAAGTACACCTTTGCTTTTCTTTCTGTTCAAATATTCTTTTTCACAGGCAAGTTTTTGGTATTAAGCATAAATTGCATCAGTGAAAACTCTTGCTGACCTATGTGACCACTTTCAGTTACTCTCAAGATTCCTAGTGTGCCTGACTAACCCAGTGATTCTCAACCAGGGTGCCATGAGATCCTTTCAGGGGTGTTGCAGGATGTCACACATTGTTAGCACTATTAGGTGTGCAAACATGATTCACAATATTAAACCAGAGATTTCAGTGGTTCAGTGTTAAAATCATTCCTACCTATTGTGGGCTTTCTGAGTTTTTTGCAACAGAAGAATTGCTCTAGTATTTTTCTGTAGTCAAAAACTGAGTGAGAACTAAAAGTTGATATTTTCTATGGGGTGCCCTGAACCTACTGAGGGTGCCTTGAGTCAAAAAGTTTGAGATCCACTGCTGTAGCCTTTAGATGGGTACTGAGCGTGAGTGACCAATTTCTTTGAAGTCTGTTGTGCAGTTTTTTATGGATATGGGTGGATATTCATTCATAGCAGTACAAATGCCTCAACACATTGTAGCACTACAAAAATAGAGTGCTCTGGGGCATAGCGACGTTCAATGTCTCTGGTTGATGAGCTGCAAAAGTAGCAGTAGCTACTCTGCAAAAGGGCAGCAGCAGGCTGCTCTTTTGCTCCTCTCATCCCCCTGGGGGAGCCTGTCACTGAGCCTCATCACTGATAGCTTGCTGTCTCCACCAGGCTGTCCATGACCAGCAGCTCTTCCTGGCATTCCTGTTCCGATAATGCCAGCTCTTCTTGTGCCATCACCACCACAGGAACAGGGGTTCTTCCTGGTGTCCCTGCTGGGGCCTGTGGCAGGTGGAAGAGCTGCCCTGGCCCCTGTGGGAACAGCGGCTCTTTCCAGTGTTCCTGCACTGGCAGTAGCAACTCTGCTTACTGCTGCTACCACAGGAACATAAAATCTTCCAGCTGTTCCTGTAGAGGCTGTGGCAGATGGAAGCAAATGACCACCTCTTCCCTCTGACACCACCATCAGAACACGAACAATAGCTAATACTCTCACAGCAGTGGCACCTGTTCCCTCTGGCTCTGCCACCAGAGCACTGGCAGCGGCTGACACACTCTTAGCAGTGATGGTAGTAGTGGCTGTTCTCACCAGGATTGCCACCTCTGGAGCAAAAGCAACAGGTGATCTGGGCTTTTTGATAGCTTGTCTTGGTGGGCTGTCAGGTAGCCATTCACTGTCCCTCCCTCCCATTTGGAGGATGGAAGAGGTAGAGTGGAGAACTGTTGGATGCTGGGGAGGTTTGTAACAATACATGTAAATAGACATTCATTACATGTGGCACTACAAAACTCCAGTACAAAAAAGTTTCTCTTCAAAAGAGGAATGTTTTAGTGGTAGATCTGTCATTGTTGTGCTACAGACAGTGTGCATATCTGTATGCTAGCTTTCATAGCACTATGAAGGTATCAGTACTGCTACAAATGTAAAGCTTGTCCAGGGCCTAAGGCTGGTGTTAATGAGAATCACCATCATAGCATTCTTTGCTCTCTGACTCTCAGCAGAAGTGATTTTGCTAACGCTGCTTTCATTTCTTTTAAAACTAGAGCGAGACGCCTTTGACACTTTGTTTGATCATGCTCCGGACAAACTCAATGTAGTGAAAAAGGTAAAAGATTTTCTACTTTGGTTTTCTATTGTGACATTTCTATGGTGACATTTTCTACTCTGATTTGTAAGCAGAACTTTTCCAGCAAAAATCTTCAAAACTAGAAAATATTTGTAGACTGCATTAGAGAAACATGCCCTCCAAACCTTTCCCTTCAAAATCATACCCTAAGGCTAGGGACAGAAATTACACATAACCTGGTATAAGTGATCAGAAACTGGTTCAAATCTTGAACACAACAGAACTTTAATGCATATAAACTGCTTTCAAAATGACTGAAACTGATATAAAATAAACCTGGATGGATGTAGTATCAGACTTAACTGATATAGGTTTATTGAGCTGTCCCAGATCCTGTTTGGATTCAAGTTAACTCTCAGTTCCCCAGCATCCCAGGATGCTTTGCATCTCCCCCCGGCTGAGCAGGCTAGCTTTGGCCCAAGGTGTCTGCTCCAGGTGACCCTGGAAGCATGCTCTAGAACCCCCTAGCTTCTGGCCTGAGCCACTGCAGGCATGTGGCTGCATTTTTGGAATCAAAAGTGAATGTCTGTTTGCTTGCTTATCAGTTCAATCTATGCAGCTTAAACTAACCTGTGAAGATTGAACTGATTGATTCAGCCTTGGGCTTTTTTAATGCCTATACTTAGCCTAAGTGCCTCTCTTGAACCTTTGACTTAATCAGTTGCTCATTGAAATCAAATTGACTGCCTCTAGCTTCACATGAGCTTGGATCATGCCCTTGTTTCAATGTTCACTTTTCCATGTGGTGCTACTAGGTAAGCATAAATGGTGGTAGTCACCTGGATAAGTATCAAGTGTCTGATCTTAGCTTCATAGCAGTGAGGCTCTTTCATTGTTGGAGAAATGTTCTCCATGTTTGCTGTGGCTGTCAGAAGTAGATATGCATGCTGATATTCACTAACTGTGTCAGCAAGAAGTGTGTACACGCAAGTACATGCATGCACAGTTAAACAGAATTAAAAAAAAAGTTTCTGATATCTTTGCCTTAGTTTGCTTTCATCAGACTATCAGCAGTGATGTTCTGATTAAAGTCAATTGCCGTAATCTCTTGAGTCCAGTCTCTGGGGTCTTCAGATCACAATATAGCACTGTCCATTGACCTTTTTGTCCAGCCCTTCACATGTTCTTTTGTGACAGGCTCAGGAAAGAGGTAAAGAAACCACTAATCTAGGCCAGCCTTTGTTAGTATTCCCTTCGAGAAGAGAACTGGCAAAGAAAATACTTTTAATTATTTCTATACCACTGTTAACCTATTTTAGCAAAATAGATAGAGATCACAACTGAAATTTGCTGCTTTACTTCTGTTTACTTATAAAACAGAATATGTGTGTTCCAGCACAAAATAATATTTTTAAATGCAGCAACAAAAGAGATGGCCTTTTTTACTAGTTTAAAAGTACTTTGAAAGCATTTTTTTAAATTGCTTGTCCCATGTAGAAATATTTTAAGGAAATCATTAGATGGTTAATACATATTTACAGTATTAATATTCATCTGCCAGTGGACAGAAGTTCAAGGTCTTACTGGTCAGTGCCTCTCACAATAGAAATCCAAGTCTGAGTATTGTAATGTGCTTATTTACTTGGATATACCCTTTGTGGAATTTAGATGGATGCAAACAGCCCACAGAGAATCTCTTCTTATGCATAGGAATTAAAAAAAAATCACTGTTCTTTCCCATGTAGCATTTCAGGAGCTGACTCTAATTAAAGAGATTAACACAGAAGGCAAACTTTGCTACTACTTTCCACAGCTTTCCCAGAGAATTGTGCAAAAAAAAATTCATCATAACAGCACTTCTTCCAAAACAAAAAGGAGTAACTTATACAATGTAGAATAGTGCCATAATAGCATATTGCAATGGTGGTGATAAATTACGCTGTTACATACCTTTTATTTTATACATATTTTATTGTTGCACATGAGTAAATTATATATTGTAAGAGTTAGACTGAAAAAGGTTAAAATGCTGTATTTTTGATATCTTGGCAAGCTTGTCACTACCACAAGCTCATCAGCTCTAATTTCTAACCTGATTGATCTTTGTGTTCTCTTCCTTCACAGTCTCTGATCACCTTTGTGAACAAACACCTAAATAAGCTGAATTTGGAAGTGACAGAATTAGAAACACAGGTAGGAGGAGCTTTGTACCAGGAAATACACTGCATGATAAAAATTACAAACTTGAGCCCTGATTCAGCAAACTCTTATTCATGTGCTTAACTATGCATATGAGTGTACTTTCAAATGAACTACCTGCATGCACAAAGTCCTGCATGTGTGAAATGGGTTGTTTGGAGCATCAGGGCCTTATCTTATAAATAATTTTAATTTGCAGCAGTATTTGCTCCCTTTACCCATAGTTACACGCAAGACTTATAACAAATACTTCCGGTACTTTATAACCCAGTTTGAGAAGAGGTGGTCTTCAATGTTAAATGCATTTGTGCTAGTAATGTTGTTAGATTTCTGACCAGTTTTTCTGAAAGATCAAGGAAAACATCTCTAGAACATCATTTCTTGTACATGAAATTATGGCTGGTGTCTGGGTTGTCTTTTGTGAGTGTGTGTGAATTAAGGGTGTTGCTCTGGACCAGAATAAGATTCCAGTTGAGCCAGTAACTGTGACATATGGCCATCCCTAGGTTGGTGTGCACTGTAGACTGTAGTGCAGTGTATAGTACTTAGGCTAACACAGGTACTGGAAGAAGTCTAGCTACAGCAGAACAGCACTCTGTGGGCTAATGTTGGTTGCAGACTTGTCTGCATATGTGCCTTTCAGTAGGATAAATTAGCCAATGGCTAGATTTCTGTCAGTACATGAGCTAGCCCAGGTACTCATAGTGTCTCTTTTTGCATTGTAGAGCCCTATGTGTTTAACCCACATAAGACACAGGGTTCCTTGGAAGCACTGTTACCTAGCCCAGGCAAGCATGAGTTTTATGAGCATGGGAATATGCTTTGTTCAGTCACCTTGCATAATTCTAACTGCAGCTTTCTAGTGATAGAAAAAGATTCTGTACAAAACTGTGTTTGCTGACTTTTTGAAAGCCTTGAAGCAAGGCAAGGGAGTAAACTTACTTTCTTTCATAAATGTTTGACAGAAGGGTGGTGCTGCATGGTCTAAGTTCCTAGGATGGGAGCATGCAAATTGCAGCTGCTGACCACTGCCAGTTTTCCTCCCTGCCATTAACTGCTGCCAGTTCCCCTTGCCAGTGGGAAGTGGAGCCTGAAACAGGGGGAAAGAGAGGGTGCAAGAGTTGTAGATCCTGCTACAGTGGGGTGTAAACCCATAAAGCTTGGAAAACACTGGCCTAGGGAACTGATTATGGGGCATGGAATGTTTCATCTGGGCTTATGTTAATATTGGTCATTTGCTGATTAATTAATATTCTGTGGCCTTTGTGAAGTGAATTAGTTGGGTATCTGCACCATGCCTGCAGAGGCACCAGTGATTAATGAGGTGATGAATACTCAAACAGCCCTCTTTCCACCAAGAGACAGGGAAGTTTTCCTGTTTGCTTTGTATACAAGACCATATTTATAAATATAGCTCTTTGATCTCCAGGGGATATTATATCCAGTTCTGAAAGGTACAGAGAAATATAAACTATACAAGAAAATAGGCCAGAGAAGGTTAGAATATGTGGAAGTATTGATCATCTGGAACACCCTGCTATTTTAGGAATTAATCTTGAGTCTTGGAACTCTTACCATTGTATTTAGTTAGGTCAGTTGCTTCAAAGGCATCTGCTGTACAAGGTGGTCAGAGTTCATTAGGATTTTTATGCTTTGGAAGGTAGGTATGACACTATCATATATGAAAAGTTTACTAAATCACACAGAATTTTGATCCCTTTGAACTACTGTTCACTGTGATCTATGGGATGCCTTTCTAAAAAGGCCTATATAAGTGAAATATGTTTAGATTCTGTGGTAACCTGGTATATATCTACACTATATTTATGTCAGGGGATGGACTAGATTACCTTTGAGGTCATTTTCAGTTTTATGATTCTACTGCCCCATACTTGGGGGAACTAGTCTTGTTCAGAATATAAAGGAACAAATAGTAATGAGAAGTCTGTTGATTTTCATCCCCTACCCCTCGCTCTGGGAAGTTTGACACCTTGCTGGCATATGTGCCATAAATCTGGGACAACTATTAGGAGGTTCTCTTTCTGCTCTAGTAGTAGAGTCCCATCCCATAGCATACCACATTTTTTGGTGCTGGTGATAGTCAGGGGTTCTGTAGTGAATTACTACATTGCTTTGCCAGGCCATATTATTTCTGATCAAAAGTTTGGAATAGGTCCCAGAGGTGGTTTATTTTGAGAATGGGAATGTCCAGTACAGTGTATTTTGAAATATACAGTAGACTAAACAAAGACAAGCAGGAATAGTTTTGCTGTTCTGTGACATTTTTCAAGACACTGGAAATTGTTCTTTTTTACTGGAACAAACTCAAGGCCTTTTAGAGATTTTTCTGTGAAAGAGAGAGCGGGAGAGACCTCCACCACCAAATAGCCAGTAACCCACTCAAATTATTGCCTTGAGCCTCAGACTTGCACATCCTAAGTGAATAGTATTTGCTGGAATTTCCATTTATGATCAGAGATGGTGACAAATTACTTTCTTGTCCTCTGGATTATGAGGGTCCCCCCAACCACCCTTGTTTCACATTGGGTTGAATCCACTGAGAAAACTTAGAGACAGGTCTTGCCTTGCCCCACTGTGGGATAGCCCAGGTTGCCCAGCAAGTAGCATGCTCACACACTGTATGGGAGAACAATTTTCAGTTCAAGGCTCTGCCTGCTCCAGAATAGGGACTCAAAACTCAGACAGATGTATGTCTTCAGCAGCAGGGTGTTGGCTATTCAGTCTGTCTTAGCTTCTCTTGTTGAAGCTGTGCCACTTTGCAGAAATAATGCAAGGCTGGTGCTCTCATGTACCTGCTGAGTAGTGCAACCACTGGGGTGCAGTTTTAGACTCGCTGGCTCAGTGGACACTTTTAAAAATACTTTAATATTCATTGAATCAGATTCTGATTCAGACCAGGAACATAAACCTTGATTTCTTACATCCCTGATCAACTGGGTATTGGCTGTTCTCAGGTGAATCAGAATTAATTTTTCCTGTTAGACCCAGTCTACCTCATATAAATTAACTATAGTATTAATTGGAGCAGGTACTTGAATGTCATTCTCTATATGTCATTCTCTGTATATCCCTATGCACAAGAACATATAGTAGGATGTAAAACAAGGAAAATGCTAAGAGTACAAAGAGTTTTGGATTTTTTGGGGGTATAATTTCCTTTTTAAATTTCATTTTACAATTGCATTTCCTATTATGAATGCAGCAGATAGTTATTTTATTTAAAAATAATGCAAGTGGTGATCTTGGACCTGGGAGAAGTCCCTTTGTCCCTCCACAGAGACCTTTTGAGCCACCTAAAGACTTAAACTAACTGGATCCAAAGAACAAGCACTTAGTTGTCCTCAGCGGAAATGACAACAGCCATGAAATATAAGCATGATGGTTGAATGAGAAGAAAACGGAAAATGGTGAGGGATCTAAAGGTTTCTGAGGCATATGCAGTAAATCCCTCCACTCTTCTGAAAGGGGTAAAAAGCAGATTGTCAGCGGTCTCTAAACTAATCTGTGTAGTGGTGGTAGTACCAGTAAACTGCTTGGGGTTAGTTAAGGCCTTGTTACATGGTTCTTTTGGGTGGCTCCTGGAGCTCTTAACCCCTGGATTTTCCACACATTAACAGTTGAAACTAGCTTGAAGCACTTCTTAGGCAGCTCAAAATTATGCCATTCCAGGGTAAGATTGTCTGATCGTGTTATCCAGCTCATGTTATGCTAAAGTATTGCCGCTCTAGGCTACACCTTAGTGTAAACACACCATCTGCCCCCCGTCTCCCGCACTGGCCCAGAGAGGGTTCACTGCCTTCCCTAGCACCCTAAATCCCTGCTTACTGCCCCTCCCTCTCCACCCCCCAGCTTACTTGTGGCTGTCTCTGCTGTCTGTCCTGGGTGAGCAGGCAAGGAGGGGTGAAACTGTTGCTGCCATTGCTCCTGTCTGGGCTGGGCTCAGTCCAGAGAAGAGCAGCAGTGGGAGTGGGGCAGGCAGGTTCATTTTTCCTTGCCTGCTCCCCTGGGACAGACAGTGGGGGCAATAAGGGGGAGTGCTGGGGAGGGGGGGAACTAGGAGGGACAGGGGTGAGACCAGAATGGGAGGGAGAGGATTCTTAACTTTGAGTTCTCCAGGCCCCTGCTGGGCTGAATGTGTGACTGCTCCAAGCTCGAGCTAGCACTAATACCCATCAACATTTGTGTGACTCACAGTGTAAGGTGCAGCAACGCCCTTATTCTTTGTTTTGGTTTCCCTCCTTGCTTGCAAATCCTTGTTCAAAACCAGATGCCTCCATTTGAAAATATCAACAGAATTTCTATTTTAGTTTGCAGATGGTGTTTATTTGGTATTGCTTATGGGCCTCCTGGAAGACTATTTTGTTCCACTCCACAACTTCTATTTAACGCCTGAAAATTTTGATCAGAAGGTGAGTAGAAATTCTAATTTGTGCTCTTCCCACATGCTGTGTTTCATCCATTGGCTCTTATCTCTTCATGCCCAATTAAGCCAGACCTCAGCAGTATCCTTCTTTCAAAAGCTATAATGAGTGCATCTTTGGTATAACATTTGATGGTTACTAAAAGCTGCACTTTCAAGGTTGTCTGCAAAACTGAAGTGTAAAGCCTGGTAACTGAATGACCTCAGTAATGTAGCTAAGATTGAGATTCAGCAGACTATCACCTAAATACTTATTTTAGAAGATAAAAATAGAACTGGTGATGCTCAGTACAACTGCACTAAGATGATGTCTAACAACGGAATATCCCAAAGTGTATTGAATAATAAACCTTTGTATTTTTATATAGCAATTTACATATTCTGGGTGATTAATTTACTATAGTAACACATAGGGGCCACGCTGATCACAGGACCCTGTTGTGATGCACACCGTAAGAGACAGGACTCTCAGCAGCTTACAGTCTAACAGTCAAGAAAGATAAAAGGTGGGGAGGATTGGGAAGCAGTGTACTCCCCTTGGTTTGCAGATGGGATTGAGATGTAGACTGATACTACCTGAGGTCTTGTAGGAATTCAGTGCCAGGAATTTAACCAAGTTCTCCTGAATCCTGGTTTAATGCCTTAAGTTCCTGAGGTGATTCTTTTCCTTTCCCGAGTCTTGCAGCAGTACAATATAGTGAATCAAGTATCATTATGGCTTGTGTGTCTGTCAGCAACTGAGGTAGGAGTCGCAATCTGGCCACAGTCATACAGTTGGTCTTTGTCAGGACCAAGATCAGAACTTGTATGGCAGGCACTTATAGCAGGCTTGACTCCATGGAAGATGCAAAATACGGCACTTGTCCACATAACTGGTATTTGCCCACTAAAAATGTTCCTGGTTTGATTTTCCTTTCTCAGTTTATGATGACTAATTCAGTAACATGGATGCGATTTACCATGTAATGGCTTATTATGCTATAACTAGTAAAATTCACTAGAGGGCATGTCAGAACAATTTTACCCTCCTGCCCTTTCAGTACTACTTTAGTGCCAGGTTGTGTTTTAGGAAAAGATTTGATTTTTGGGTTGGTTTATTTTCTTGGGTCGTGCCAGGTTGCTTTTTTGGGGGGAATTGTTGGTGGCTTTGCTTGAGAGCCACGGGTTTTTTCTGCAGTTTGAGTTCAGTAAGCAGTGCTGCCCTCTTCCCTTGCAAAGCCTTCCACTTTTTTCTGGGTACTTGTCCCTTGTTGCACAGGGTGCTGCTGGTTGAGGCGGGAGATGTTTTCATGCAAAGGTCTGCAAGAGTGAGCCTGCCTGCCTCCCCCTCACAAGTCTGGATTGGCATCGGGGGTCTGTACCGCAGGCTTCACAAAGGTGCTGCCCCCCTGCCCAAGCCTGGTCCCAGAGCAGTTTTGACTCCTGCTTTTTCTGCACTTGTTGTACCAGGCACTGGGTGTGGGGTACACTAAGGGCTGCACAAGAGTACAGAAAGAGTATGGCTGCCCCCCACCCCCGTGCCTGCAGTCATATCCCCCCAGCCTACAACCAGACCCCTTCAATACTTGTTCCCCCTCCTGTCCCCTGCCCTGCAAACTTGCCCCTCTTCTCTAGTACTCCTGTTCCTTCTAAACCTATTTTTGCCCCCAGCAGCATGTCCCTGTCCCCTCTGCTTACCATTGCTCTGCCTGATGGTCATACTGATGCCTCTTTCTGGGAGTGCAGGGGGTGGTAGGTCAGGACTGAGGGGCACCAGCTGGGCTGAAGGGGTAGGGGGCTGCAGGTAGGGAGTGAGGTGCACTGGCAGGGTTTGGAGGAAAGGGAGCTGTGGGTCAGGAGTGAGAGGCACCAGCTGGGCTGGGGGGCTGCAGGTTAGATGAGAATAAGAGGCACTAGCAGGGCTGGTGGGGCAGGGGGCTTCAGGTTGGGAGTGAGGGACACAGGCAGGGCTGGGGGTGGGCAGTGGTTTGGCTGTAAAGCATGTTCATGTTTTCTGTGTGATTTGTTATATTTTGTGCTTCCTGTAAAACTGGAGAGGACCATTTCCCATCCCCCCCCTCAGACCATTACCTTAAGGTTCCTCAGTAGAGCCTGTAAAACCAGTTGAGTGACTCTGGATGAATCCTGGAGTTGTGAAATCTGACAGTGCATTGTCCTATCGGCATTTCACAGTAACCCTATTTGCATATCAATTTAGGTTTCCCCGCAGCTCAGGTTACAGCTTTCTCAGTTTGTGCCTTGAGGCAGACATCTGAACCTGGCTTTCCAGGAGTTTGAACAAGACACCAGCCCAGGCACCAGCCCAGTTCAATAAACCATTCTGTGATGCGACTTTTCTGGGGCCAGCAATATCGTCTTGTTGCTTACCCCATTAGGAATAGAGGAAGCCATGCCCTAGCAAGCAATCCACAGAGACAAATCCCCATTCCTGCATTACCTCCGGTATGCCAAAGGCCTATTCCATGATTAATTACCCAGAGCTACCTGACCCATACCACATGCACCCAATGCTATATGTTAGGGTTCTCTCCCAGAATTGGCAAAAGCTTACTTAGCTATGACTTGCACTTGGCAAGCCATGCACTTTATTTTCTCTGTTCATCAGTCAGCCACCCCCAACATTTATGAGGTTCTAGGAACATTTCACTTGCAAAATTCCCTGCCAGTCCCCTGTCTGCCTGGGCCTGGGGCTGTGGAGGACCCCCTGCTCGCAGTGAGTGGCCTGCTCTCACCATCCACTGTTTTGTGATGCCCCAGGCTACATGCTAGGATTTGCTCCCTGAATTTCAAACTCTCTGCTCTTACTAACAGTCAAAGAACATCTGCACCACACAGCTTCCCTCCCCCCCACTGCCTCTGGCAGTGTGAGGCAGGGACCCTTGGCTGGCAGTGACTGGCCTTCTAACCATCTACTGTTTCAGGGTGGCCAACACCAAGGCTACATGCTATGGTTCATGAGGCTGCAGTTTCTTCCTTTAATTCCCAGGTCCTTATTTCTGGTTCCTGATTCCTTTTTCAAAGCTAACCTATACCTAATAAAAGCTTCTTATTAATGAATTACACATTCTATTGAGAGAATTTCATTGGCTATGCATATTTACCAAATAATATGTAAATTAATATCCTGCATCCACCATGCCTGTCTGTGTACCACCAGGGGACTCTCCTCTGACCAGAGTCTTGTGCAGCTCAAAGCGTGGCCTGATTGACAGCCCCCCATGCACACTGTAATAAGTATATGGGCTTGAATAAGGAATTCTTTTCAGCTGGAATTAGAGATGGAAACCTTTCTTAGCTCCCCTTCCCCCCTCCACACCATGAGTCGTTGCCACTGGGGCCTCTCCCAGACATCTCTGACTAGAATCTTGCCTGGCCCAAAGTGCTGTTTGTTCATGCCAGGCTGCCAATTCACAGCTCCCCATGCACACTATACTAAGTATATGGGCTTGAATAAGGAACTGGTTTTTGGGCTGGGATGACAGCTGGAAATCCTTCCTGGGCCAGCCCACATGGTCAGGGGGGTCCAGGAGAGTCCCCAGTGCCAGAGGTATGGCATGGGGTGGCCCTAGCTATGGAATGTAATGGCCATATATATTAGTGCATGGGGAGGGCAGAGATGCACCCAGCTCTGGGGTGTAATGGCTACATATAACAGTGTATGGGAAGAGCTGAGATACACCCCAGAGCTGGGTGCAACAGCCACATATAACAGTTCATTACAGCCCTCACCATACACTGTTATACATGGCCATTACACTCCAGAGCTGGGCCATCTTGCACAATGTCTCTGTGGCATTGGAGGACTCTCCTGGACATCTCTGACCAGAGAATTGCCTGGCCCAAAGTCCAATTTGTTCATGCGAGGCTGCCAACTGACAGCTTCCCTATGCCTGCTGTACTAAGTATATGGGCTTGAATAAAGAACTGGCTTTTGGGCTTAGATTACAGATTGAAATCCTTTTTGGGTCATCTGACACCATGCCTGTGTGCCACTGGGGGACTCTCCTGGACGCTCCTGACCAGAGTCTCGCTTGGCCCAAAACACAGCTTGGCCATGCCAGGCTGTCAACTGACAGCACCCCAGGCACAGTGCTAAGTATATGGACCCAAATAAGGAACTGGATTTGGGACTGGCAGTATGGCTAGAAATCATTCTTGGGCCACCCCATGGCATACCTCTATGGCACTGGGGGACTCTCCTGGACATCTCTGGCCAGAGTCTTGCCCAGCTGAAACCACAGTCCGTGCATGCCAGGCTGCCAACTGACAGTCCGCCCCATGCCCACTGTAGTAAGTATATGGGCTCAAATAAGCAATTTCTTTTGGGCTGGTATTAGAGATGGAAATCCTTCTTGGGCTACCCCATGCCATGCCTCTGGTTTTTCTAGTTTTCTCGTTTTCCTGAAATTGGGCTGTTTTTTGGGCTGGGATTACAGCTGGAAATTCTCCCTGGTCAAGCCCATATGGTCAGGGGTGTCCAAGAGAGTCCCTCAGTGCCACAGAGGCATGGCTTAGGGTAGCCCTAGCTCTCTGCTGTAATAGCCACATATAACAGTGCATGGGAATGGCAGATATGCACCCAGCTGTGAGATGTAACAGCTACATATAAGCATGTATGGGGAGGGCTGAGATACACCCCAGAGCTGGGTGCAACGGCCCCATATAACAGTTTAGCACAGTACTCGCCATACACTGCCAGGGCCCTTCACTCCTGATCTGCAGCCCCCTACCCTCCCAGGAGCAGCATGAGGTGGTGGGTCCCAGAGGTACCAAAGGCCAGAATTGCAGGTGGCAGCTCAGGTTCTTTCTGACCTCCCTCTGGCATGAAGCCAGGGAGTTTGGTGTGCTGACAGCACATGGAGGATCCCAGAGTCACTAGAGCCTGGAACTGCAGGTAGCAGCCCAAGTATTGATAGTTCAGTGGTACAGCTTTTGCCTGCCACATGGGAGAGCTGGGTTTGATTCCCAGCTAGGGCACCAGAGGATTGAGTTGCCTGTAAAAGGGAATCCCCACTGGGGAGGGGGGTTCCCCTCACCTTGTTTACCCTGCCCCACTGGGGAGCCTGCACCTCAAATTTTGTGGGATCTGTGCCTCATATTTTGGGAAACTCTGCATCTTATATTTTGTGAACCCTGCACTTCAAGTCTATTGATTTGTCTCTGTTATATGTGTATGTTGACCTAAAATCCCTTTGACTTCCCTCTGCTCCCCTGGTCCTCCCCACCACCCCTGGGTGCCTGGACCATGGTTCCATTACCTCCCAGGGCCCCCTTGCCTCCCGCATATGTGTTAAATTTCACCCTGTTCTTTCGCTATTAAACTCGTATATGGTTAAGTTCCAATTGGTCTTGGCTCTACTTTATTGGGGATAGGAGGAGAGCTGCTCCCCCATAAGTGGCTACCCCTCCAATAGCACACTAACACCTGCTAAATCCCTTCAATTGGAGAGGGGAGTACCTCATCTGAGTACCACCTGGGTTACATTTACCACCTAGATTACATTTACCACCTGGGTTACACCTACCCTCCCAGCCCTGCCAGTCCCCCCTCTCCTGACCTGCCCCCCTGGCTCATGTGGTGCCCCTCACTTGCATCCCACAGTCCCCTTCCCACCCAGCCCTGCCAGTTCCCCTCCTGAACTGCACCCCACCCCTCAATCCAGCTGGTGGCCCTTACTCCTGACCCACAGCTCCTGAACCACAGGGGAACAAAAACCGTGCCAAGTTTAAAAACCCAGGGATCTGCCTATGTCCTTAGACCAATACTGCTACAACCAAAAACCCAGTCCAACAAAAAGTAATTTTAATTAACCTGAGTCTTGAACTGGCTGACCCATAACAATTTCATCTTTGCCACAAAGTGCATGTGAACACGGGGAACAATTTTTTCAGGAATCCAAAAAAGTTGTATTTTTTATTCATCTAAACCTTGAACTAAATCACCAGTAAAAATTTGCAAGATTAACCCCTGGAGTCTTGTTGCAGCATTGCAATAAAAGGTCAGTGGATTTCCATGGATTACCAAGTGAACCCAAGTGGCCCCTGGTGGTGAAAGTGTTGCAAAGCAGGGCAAATTCCATTTTCAGTCTTAAGTCAGATCCATGTTGAAAATTTAAAATGATAAAAAACCTTATGGAAGAAATTCAGGAGCTAAAAATAAAACATGTCAGAGGTATTTTAGATTCCCCCCCCCCCGATGATAAAATCAGCTGATAATGTAGATACATAGACTCAATTTAGCTAGCTTAATGTTGATTTTTGTCAGGTGGATACAGGAAAAGTATAACGTGTTAACAGGAGAGGTGTAGCGTGGACAAGTGCCCATAAAATGTAGGCCCCATCCTGCATCAAGCTCCATGTGGGCAGTGTAGAGGACAAAGCCCTGTTTGAAGTAAGTTGGCCCAGAGACCTGCAAGGGACTATGGCTGAGCAGAATCATGACAGTCACATCCTGAAGAGTTGGTGATTGACTGAAGTGGAGAGACAGTGCTCTGGGAGACCCAGAGGAAGGGTCTAACCTGGCATTTTCAGACATTTTTGTTTGGGAAGGTGAAAATGAGGGTAAGTTGTTATATATCAGGGCTGCTCAACTGGTATGCCACAGACTGCAAGCACGGGGTTAATTTTGTGGTTCCCAGACCTCCACTCAACCACTACTCCCACCACTGCTCTGTCTTCCGCAGCAGCTGGGGTCTCCTGGTCCCACTCCCAGGGGGCAGCACAATGTAGCTCATGGTGCAGTGAGGGAGTGTTATACAAATTACCAATTGCTTAAATCACAAGCGAGACTTTATAAAGGGGGATAAGGCAGAATGCCACGTTTATTGATTACATGAGTTAGACATAGAGGTTCTGGCACACCATCCATACAAACACACACAAATCATCATGCACATCATCACACACAGGCATACATACACAAAACAATCATTCCATGCATGCAGACAGACACCAAATATAGTTACCATCAATAGTTGCTCAATGTTAACATGGGGTGGCCAACCCCATGATCACTGAGTAGCTGAGGTGTTGAAACTGATGACAATGGTGAAGAGATAGTAGCTGGAGCGAGGTGAGATGCAGACACATCTGTGCTCTGGAAGGAAGACAGAAGATTTCTCGCCTAACTTGGCATCATTTGTGTTCTCTTTATATATGGTTTTTAGTCTCTGTTTTCACTTCTTGTGGTTTTTCCATGTTTAGTCTGTGTTTTTAGCAGCTGCTTCACATCCATCTTCTTATCTTACATTGAGGTCACTTTAGTTGTAAAGATGGGTCTCAGCCTTGAAGTTTTCTTGTTGCTCACATGGCAGCATTTCTTCTGCTGTCTCCTTTGTGCCCTCAAGCTTCAAAGGGATTCTTCAGTTGTTTGTTAGTTAGTTACTGGCTGGTAGTTTACACCTCTGGGGCGTTGTTCCTTACATAAACAATTACATCTCCTTTTCTCATGCAAACTCCCATTCACTCTTCACTCACCCCTTGCCCATCTCTCTCTCATGCCCAGGACATACAAAGTTCATTCACTTGTGTCAAGCTGGAAGCATTATAGAATAGAGTCAAGGAGCTACATTTTAAAAGACAGAAATTAAATCATTACCTTCATGCTAGATTTAACTATACTATATAAAAAAAGTTTAACTAAATGCTACAAATGTTATAGGAACCTATGACCAGGTAGCTGATATTATTGTAGGCTAGATACCAGAGAAGGGGGAGCCTGTGCAGCATGTGCTTCCTAGTTGCTTAGAAGTTGGACCACCCTGTTATACATGAAAATCCCAGATGAGCTGAGATGTAAGGAGAGGGTGATATTTTCCATCCAGCTCTGGGGAGCCTGTTCCAGATGTAAGGGGTGGCTTGCACTTCCTGGCTCAGTGCTAGGCCCGCATGCATTCCTGTGTACTTTGGCATCTGCCAGAGTTGGTGATGACATAAGATGCTTGCAGCAAAAGAAGATGCACATGGTACAGGATGACCATTACTATGATGCAGAAAATTGACTAACCCTATTATAGCAAACACCCTCTTTCAGTTAACTTTACTTGTGATTCCTTGGCAGTTTGCTATGATGAGGTTGTACTGTATTTACACTCTGTCTCATCTCTGAGTGTTCTGTGCCTAGCACCTTGGGTTCCATCCTAGTCATGCTGCATTTGGAAGATCAACTGTAAATAATAAAAACTCCCTTTCCCCCCTCAGGGAGCTTTCATATGGGAACATAGTGCATGCTGGCATATTGAATTGGAGCAGGAGCTTGCTGCAGCATGGAATGACACATTAGTAAAGGTACAGGAACTGAGTACTTTTAAAGACGTGATACTGAATACGTTTACTTCCTGCTGACTTAATTGGGTTTTAATGCTGCTCAGCACCCACCAGGAGGAATACAGCTCTTTAAAGGATGGGCTATAGCTTTGTGACTTGTCTTTGATAGATATTGCTCAGTTTCACTAGATTTGATGATATTAACTTAACAAGGGAAAGAATATGTAACAGCAGGCTCTGATTGTGTTTGTCTAAACCACCCTGGCTTGTGTAGTCAGTGTTGATCTTGCTGTAAACAGTTATGTGGGTTTTGCTGACTCACTTGGGTAAGTGACTAGTTGCTGTATGTAGAGGTGTAGGAGGTTGGAGTGGCTCCCTGAAGAGAGAGGATCAGGATGTGGCCTGAATAATCTAACAGGAACCCCAGTAAGGCACCAAGAATAGGGATAAGATTAGAGAAAATCTGTTACTTTATTAATGCAGCTGTGAAATGCTAGATATTGGACTCTTTATCCTGTTGTTCCATATGTACAGCAGTTGGGAGGAGAGGTGTGTTTTATTGCTTCATAGCAGCCCTTCATAGTATGGTTTATCGTCCCATGTTTTTTCCTTCTTGTGGTTTAAATCTTCCTAAATAAAGCTATAGGATGCCTGCCTGCCTATGTTACCATACCTAGCATTTCACAGCTGTTCATTTAACTTTACAGCTGCAGAAGATGCCTCTAATGATCGAGTCATAGGCTAGGGTTTATTACACACAAACCAGTTTAAGAGATCAGAAACTGGTTTAAACCTGTAACAGAACATCAGAACATAAGTTCAGTGTGCATAAACCAGTTTCAAAATGGCTGAAACTGGTTTAGAATATACCTGGTTGAATATAGCATCAGATGTAACTGATTTGGATCAAACTGGTTTATGCAAAGTCTGTCCCAGACCCCTTCCTGGTTTAAGTTAAACCAGTGTCCCCCAGCATCCCAGATGCTTTGCAGCCCTGGGCTGGGCTGTGCTGTCTGCTCCAGAGAACAGGGATGGTCCCACCCCTCTGCTTCCTAGCCTGACCTCTGGCGGAGACTGCATACATAGCAGCGTCTGCTTGGCTTCCCTCTGCCCCACCACCCCTCTCTGCTTGCTGCTCAAGCAGGGATCTCCCCATCCCTCTCTCCCTCCCTCCCATCTCCCACAGCATGGCTCCCAGCCCCATGGACCCTAGGCATGTGGTATGCTAGGTAATGCTGAGAGGTGTGTGTGTGTGTGTGAGTCTCCAATTTTGCTGGGACAGGACAAAAGCAGACAGGACAATGTCCACTTAGGGCTTTTTGGAGCTAATCAGGTCAGCTGGTAATGTCCATCTGTTCCTTCCTTGGAAGAAACTGTTTAAGAAGACCTTAAACTAATGAGAGAGACTTCTGTTTTGTTGATGGGCTGATAACACAGTGTTTATCAGCTCCCTGCTGGCTCTCTCACCTCTCAGGTTTGCAGACAGTATGAAAAAGCAGGGAGAGGGAGATTGAAAAGCTCAATATCATCAACAGATGCATGCACTGCACTCTTTGCCTCAGAGTGCTAACCTGGGGCTGGGGTCTGGCAATACTCCCACCCCTTGAGCAACAAGCAGGGAAAAGCCTGGGACAGTGCAGGTGGGGTGGGGGTTTACACCCCTCCCTAATCAGAGCCTCCTGCTGGGGCCTGGTCACACCCCCGTCAGCACTATAGAAGGGAAGGGAGGGCTGCTCATGCTCCCTGACTTCTACCCTGAGCTGCTGCAGGCATGTGCCTGCATTTCCTCAGTCCAGAGAGAATGTCTGTGCAGTTGCAAACTAGTTCAACCTAGGCAGGTTAGACTAACCTGCAAAGGTTGAGTCAATTCAGGCTCAGGCTTTGTGAATGTCTGTCCCTAGCCATAATGTTGTTTTCAGTAATCAGAAGGAAGCATGAGCGTGGGGAAGGATTAGCGTCTTTTTTGTTCTTTTGTTTCATTTTCTTTTCTTTCCATTTTGTTTCTGTTTCTTTCCATTTCTTTTTACCTTCTGAAATAGTTTTTTTGTCTAAACAAATGAAGGGCAGCTGGAACAGGAGGAAAGAGATTAAAACTTTGAGGAGTAACCCAAATGAAGGGGGGCTTTTGTCCTCTTGATGCAAAGAAGTTTTGCATGTGCAATTCCCCAACTTGTGGAATGAGCTGTTTTAATTAAATGTCTCCCATCCTGCCACATAATATATCCAGAGTCAGTTACTTATAGTGACAACAGATACAGAGAATTCTTTATCCAAATTACTTTCTTAAACTTCAGTAGGCATGCAGATGAAGATTTTCTTTTATTAAATCTTTTCAAGCCTTCCTCAACAGCTTTCTCTTTTAATTGGTTGTCCTTTTACAGTTTTTTTACCTTTCCTGAGTGTTTCCTGTTTTATACTCTCCCTTCATGTTAATAAATAGTGGTTGTAGCTTTTCTGTTAACATGTCTGTCTCTTTTTATGTGTACGGAACTTAGAGAAGTCTTGGCGCTCTGGTGAAATGCCTGAAGATTGGAAGAAAGCCAATGTGGTGCCTATGTTCAGGAAAGGGAGGAAAGTGGATCTGGCAGACTACAGGCCCATCAGCCTGACATCTGTTCCGGGGAAGGTTTTAGAAAAGATGTTCAAAGAGGCCATTCTTAACAGGTTGGCCGAAGGCAACATCCTGAGGGATAGCCAGCATGGGTTTGTTGTGGGTAGGTCTTGCTTGACAAATCTCATTTCCTTCTACGACCAGGTGACCTATCACCTGAACAAGGGAGAGGAAATTGATGTTGTGTATCTTGACTTCAAAAAAGCCTTTGATCTGGTATCCCATGATCACCTCTTAGCAAAACTGGTGAACTGCGGCCTTGGGTCCACCATGATCTGCTGGCTAGGGAATTGGCTCCATGGTCAGACCCAGAGGGTGGAAGTTGATGGAAGTCAATCGTCATGGTGCCCTGTGACCAGTGGGGTCCCTCAATGCTCTGTCCTTGGACCTATATTGTTCAACATCTTCACTAATGATGTGGACATTGGAGTCAGAAGCAGACTGGCCAAGTTCGTCGATGATAACAAACTTTGGGGTAAAGCATCCACACCTGAGGACAGACTGACCTTGACAGGCTCAGAAAATGGGCAGACGAGACCCTGATGGTGTTTAACACTGAAAAATGGAAGTTTCTCCACCTTGGGAGGAAAAACCTGCAGCATCCTTATAGGCTTGGCAGTGCTGGCTAGCACTACGGATGAAAGGGACTTGGGGGTCATGACTGACCACAAGATGAACATGAGCCTTCAATGTGATGCTGTGGCTAGTAAAGCGAGCAAAATACTGGCTTGCATCCATAGATGCTTCTCAAACAAATCCCAGGACGTCATTCTCCCATTGTACTCGGCCTTGTTGAGGTCACAACTGGAGTACTGCATCCAGTTTTGGGCTCCACAATTCAAAAAGGATGTGGAGAAGCTTGAGAGAGTCCAGAGGAGAGCCACGCGCATGATCAGAGGTCAGGAAAACAGACGTTACGACAGCAGGCTGAGAGAGATGAGACTCTTCAGCCTGGAAAAGCGTAGGCTCAGGGGTGATCTGGTGGCCACCTAAAAGTTTATCAGGGGTGCTCACCAGAATCTGGGGTAACGTGTGTTCACCAGAGTGCCCCAGGAGATGACAAGGTCAAACGGTCACAAACTCCTGCATGATCGTTTCAGGTTGGACATAAGGAAAAACTTCTTTACTGTCTGAGCCCCCAAGGTCTGGAATAGACTGCCACCGGAAGTGGTTCAAGCACCTACTTTGAATGACTTCAAGAGAAATTTGGATTCTTATCTTGCTGGGATCCTGTGACCCCTGCTGACTTCCTGCCCCTCGGGCAGGGGGCTGGACTCGATGATCTTCCGAGGTCCCTTCCAGCCCTAATGTCTATGGAATCTATGAAATATGTGTGGTCTGCTTTGCAATTCCAGTGCACTGTCCAGTTATAAGCAAGCCCCCATGTATCTAATGCCTATGGAATCTTCACTTCATTTTTTATCCTAACTTTAAAGATGAGGAATCTGGGGCTCAGAGAGAAATTAAGTGATTTGCCTTGCATCACAGCAAGGCAGACACAGAACCTTTGAGCCCTAGTTCCCAATCTATGCTGGGCAGTTCCATTATTACTGCACGTGCACCTCAGGGGCGAGCAGCGGGGTAGCACAGCCTGCCCCGAGGTGCGCACACAGTCCCCTGCCAGCACGGAGCTGATGCCGGAGCTGTAGAGCCCAGCACAACTGTTTGCAGCCTGCCCGCTGCTTGCTGCAGCTGCCCAGAGCCCGGGGGTGGCTGCAAACAGCTGCTCCAGGCTCCAGAACCCTGCCATCACTTCTGTGTTGGGAGCAGAGGAGAGACCAGGGCTGCGCTGCCTCAGGCCTCTCTCCCACCGCCCTCTCCCATGCGCCCCTGCATGCGCTGGTGCAGAGCTGATGCCAGACCCCAGAGCCTGGCACAGATGTTTGGAGCCTCTCAGCTGCCAGCTCTGGGGACCTGCTGCTAGCCGAGAGCCCAGGCTGCTCCCAGCAGGTAGCTGGGATGCTGCCAGCCCTGCTGGGAGCAGCTCGAGCTCCGTCACTGGCAGCAGCTACCCAGAGCCGGGGCTGGCCATGGCGTGCCGAGCAAAATTGCCTCGCGTGCCATGCTTGGCACACGTGCTGGGGGTTGCTGACCCCCACTCTATAGATTCTCTGGGGGATCTTCCTTCGTTCCCCCCTCTTCTCTTTCCTCTTCTTTCTCCACTTTTTGACCTCGTGTCCTGCCACTCTGCTCCCCTCTCGGAGCTTCTATCCTAATAAGAGAACACTGCTTCCAGAGCCGTTACCTGTTTTTTCCCGTTGCGCCCATGCTCACTCCTCCACACCCTTCCTACCATAAAAACACCTCATTCTGTCATTAGTTTTCTGCTAACTCTTGTTCAGTTCCTAACTGCTAGGAGGGGAAGTGATCCATTTCCTCGAAGACTGAAACACTATTATGGAATACTGTTACTTATCTTAAGCATACAGGCAGGAAGAGCTTGTCAGAAATGCAGATATTCAACTTCTGTCTTACAGAGGCTGCAACATCTCAAGGCACACCAGTGTCAAGAAGACTTCATTGTTTTGCTAAGCTTTTACAGGCTTTTCCCTCAGTCAGTACCCATATCTCATTTTTGACCCTTTACCTAAAAATTTGGAAATCTTCAATGATTTCCTTTCCTCCTGCATTGAGCACCGAACCTACAGTGATATCATCTTTCATTTGTAAGTAATTTGTTTTAGAAACCCTGTAACAGGTATTTTCTGACACACACATAAATAGAGCTTATTGATTTTTAAAACAAAATACATACCAAAGTTGTGTTTTGCATCTCAAGAGAAGGGAAAAGAAAATAACTTCTTTGTTTTATTGATTTGGTACCATGTGGGAATCTAAATGAATATTTCTTTTTCAGGTCCATAATGTTTCCTTTGCTTTTGAGCTGATGCAAGATGGAGGACTCAAGAAACCAAAAGCTCGACCTGAAGGTAATATACACTCCACAGAGTATGCTTCTGAACATACAGCTATATTGGCAGTGAGATCTTGAGTGTGGCTCTTTTTAAGTTCATAGAGTTACATCAAGAAGTAGTATAGTTATGGGTGTATATCTTACCAAAGGGTCCTTGCCCATATCTGGACATTTCCTGATATGAATGGCACAGGGAATGGGTTTGCAGTTTCATGCCCGACCCATGTTTTTGGTAAGGGGATAGCATAATCTGAGAGTTGTTCAGCAGTGTACATTAGATCTGTTGCTGGTCTTAGTTCCGTTTTCTAGCTGAAAATGTTCTATATCCATGTAAACTGTCATTATAATTAGTACTAATTGTTCCATTTGTTAACAATCTGATCAGAGGGTTAATAAGCTGGGGGAAAAAACTGCTCTCATGGAAGTCAGTGACAGAACCTCCCAGTGACTTCTGCAGGTCCTAGGCTAAGCTCTGAATGAGAGTGAAGTCTGAATTAACCTCTGACATTTAGCAGCTGAACCTCTCAATGGTGAAACCAGTTAATGGAGCAACATGCCGTAGTTTGCGTGGCATCCTGAAGGCCTAAAAAAAAAAATAAATATACCTTACTATTGCTGTGCCAAAAACTTATTAGATGCTTACACAGAGCAAATAGAAAGACAAAGAAACTCCAGGTAGCTTACAGGCTAACTTTTAAATGAGCTGTAATGAGCATAAGAAATAGTAGAGAAGAAATGATCCAGGAAGGACAAAAGAGAATAGCATCTCATTGGTACACTGAGTCTGAGCCATTGAGATGGCTCAGTTGTGTTTTTATGATGATAATAGATAATTGATTGATTTGTTGCTTGTGGACATTGTGATAAAAAAGCATCTTAAGTAAAGATCTGAATGAAGGTGAAGATTCTATCTTGGAAGGCTAAAATTGGAAAGACATTTCATGCACTGGAGATGGTTAATATATGTATTAGAATATGAAAACTGGAGAAGATTGTGGGTTAAGTAGGAACAGCAGCAGCAATAGCATCAGAGATGGAATGGAAAGGGGGTAAACATGTTCTGAGAATAGACCAGGTCAGCCTAATTGCTAATGGAGGAAAACTATTAAAAAACTTACTATGTCACTATGACCATCGTAGATGCTAGAGTTGGAAGGGACCTCAAAGGATCATCGAGTCCAGCCCCCTGCCAGTGGCAGAAAAAAGTGCTGGGATCATGTGATCCCAGCTAGGTGCTTGTCCAGTCTCCTCTTGAAGACCCCCAAGGTAGGGAGAGCACCACATCCCTTGGAAGTCTGTTCCAGATTCTGGCAACCCTAACTATGAAGAAGTTCTTTCTGATGTTCCACCTAAACCTACTCTCCATCAGCTTGTGGCCGTTGTTTCTGGTTATTCCCAGGGGTGCTCTGGTAAACAGAGCATCACCTATTCCCTGCTGCCCCCGCAGTTAATTTATATACTGCCACAAGATCCCCCCTCAGCCTTCTCTTGCAGAGGCTGAAAAGGTCCAGGTTCCTCAGCCTTTCCTCATAAGGCCTGCCCTGCAGGCCTCTAACTATACTAGTGGCCCTCCTCTGGACCCTCTCAAGGTTGTCCACATCCTTCTTGAATTGCAGTACCCAGAATTGGACGCAGTACTCTAGCTGTGTCCTGACCACTGCCGCATAGAGGGGGAGCATCACCTCTCTGGATGTGTTCATGATGTACCTACTAATGCATGACAAAGTGTGGTTAGCTCTGCTAATTGCTTCATCA